ATAGGGGCATACGAATCCAGGGGAAGTCACGTCGCCGGCCACGAAACCTCTACAGCCCGCAGTTGAGCGGGTAATTACAATAGGGAGGTTATTGTAGTTGTTGTTGAAGTAGGGTTGAATGAAAGGGAAAAAAGTTTTGGATCAGAACTGTAGTACGTGCTTTAGCGAGAAAGGAATTAAAGAATTTTTTCACCACTGAGCTTTATTACCGTACCGTTTGAGCCTGATAAAGCTCCGTAAGTCAAGTGTCAGTCTGTCGGGAAAATAATGTGAAATTGTCGCGGGGCACAGGTATAAAAGATGGACGTTTCAAATGCTCAAATTATTTATGGCTTGTTTTTCCAAGCTGCGCCCGACCATTTCCAGCCCATATTTTAGATATCAGTCCGTCGGGAAAATAATGTGGATTTGTCAAAGAAAAATACATTATTATTTTTTCCACATTACTTTTCCGACAGACTGATATTATTTATATGTTTACCGCGTTCAAAAACTTATCAGTCTGTCGGGAAAATAATGTGGAATTGTCGCAAAATCTCTTTCGTCGCCGCAATCGCGCACCAAACCCTCAGATAGCCGTCGCAAAGCGATAATGGGCGACTCCAATCCGCGGCAAATCCACATTATTTTCCCGTCAGACTGATACGACTCCCAGATTCCATTTTTAGATCTTGCTCACAAGCTGAGACTAGCTCGCACGCCAATTCCTAAGTTTGAACGCTCGCTTTGCGACCGAGAAATTCAACGATCTTTGTTGCGGAGAGAGTGCGTTGGCCTATTAAAAGAATTAGACAAAATTTGGCTCAGGGGTCAGTAAACTCTTAGCCGGAGCCATGAGCCGGCTCCGGAGCCTCCGAATCTCTACTCCAAACCCGAAAAAAAGGCAAAATGCACGGTGCAAAACGTGACGTTTTTTGGTGCGGACCGCGAAAAATGTCCATGCACTTTATGAAAATACGAATGATACAACAACCGTACAACAACCGCGTGCCCTTTCCCGTTCCCAGAACAACGCTGCAAAACATAAGTATCGGGCACAAACCAGCATCAAATGAGCCGTTCCCTTTTCCACTCGGCCCTTTTATACGGTAAACAGCGGCTCCGTTTCTCCCACCCATTCGATTATGCATTCCTACCCCACTGTAACAATTTATGGCGGTAAGAATTTTTGAGCACCTGTGATGCAAAAATAGTCGGTTCCAAGTGCGCGGCGAGCTGCGGAGAATGAGCGCTGACAAGATATCAGTGCGTCGGGAGAATGATGAGCACTCTGTCGCTTCCAAAATTGCGTCGCCGCCGAGAAATGGAATTGTCTTCGCGGCAAAATCAAATTGCTTTTCACTTCAGTAACGCGATTGGCTCAGCGACATTGTGCTCATTATTTTCCCGACAAACTTATAATATTTTTTCCGACGCGCTAATGGTTGCTTGAGTTGGGGAAAGTCGCGATAAGTCAAGAAAATGCGATGTTAAGATTTTCATGCCCTCTGGCACAAATTTGAACTATTTTTTTAACCGCAGAAATCTTTGCCGGGACTTTATGTCCCTCTAGTAATATTCGCACTTTCGCAAAGTGCCTGGACGTTTTCACAGTGCTTTTCGCTTTATTCGCGCGACGCGATTCCTTTGAAAACCTTTTGAAAAAATGTCCAGGCGCTTTGTGAAAATGCTGAAACAAATTTCCTGCAGCTCCACACCGTGCATTTTGTGCGACAATTCGAAAGACCCATGTTGCACCATGCATCTGGCAAGGTGAGTTTGCACAGCCATTTTTTTGCACTACGGTCTGCATTTTTCGCAGCGACAAATCTGTATATGTGGCAATCATTGCTCGAACTTTGCAGCAACCATAATTAAGTTTTTTATTTACTCTCCGCAACCTTATTGCCAAAGATTCAATGAAACAGGCGCGTTCTTTCGACCCACTGAGGTTGAAAGAAAGCCGTATTCCTACCGTATCCCCGAATAACAAAATTTTGCCAAACTTCACGGCCTCCTCTCCCCTTCGCCGCTAACTTTCTCTTTGAGCTATCACAAAAAGTTAAAAAATTTGCCTACACCGCTGACGTAACTGGACGAGCCCATCACCAATTCTTACCTAGGCCGCAATCAAAGGCCCCTATTTTGGAGCCTGTTTCTTTTTTAAACTCGCAAATTTACCTCGGAATTCCTGAGCCGCTGGCGCATCGGCAATTCTGCGTCAGCGAATGGGTTAACAAATTTCGGAAAAATAAACAATAGCCGTTCGAATTCACCTGTGCGCCGCGAAATTTGTCGTCAGAAGCGGCGCGGGTAAATTTAAACCCGATGAAAAGCGTTGCAGGATATGACGGCTGTTTTGGCATGAATTTCGGAGCAAAGTGCGTGGAAAGGGGGAGAGATACGTGGAAAAGTTTTGAAGGGGGCAAAGGAACAGTGCAGGGATACGAAAATATTAAACTATAAGTCTGCTGATAAAATATAGAGCACAATGTCGCTGCGCCGATTGCGTCACTGAAGTGAAGAACAATTTGATTTTGCCGCGACACAAGTCATTTTCCCGGCAGCAATGCGGTTTTCGATGCGACATTGAGCTCATTATTTCGCACAGACTGATAATCATCATAGTAGTATTACAGGTACCAATGCACTCTTTTTGACCCCATCCTCTGGGGGAGGACAAAAAGCAGGCACTCAGCTATGGAACACAGTATTTATCCATTTACATGATGATAGAAAAAAAATTTGGTCATAAGGAGTTAGACTTGGGGAGACTTTCGTTTCAATGGGCCGGCCCGAGCTGGGCCGAAGCAAATTTAGAACGGGCCGGGCCAGGCCGACGGAAAATCTGAAATGGGCCGGGCCGGCCGGAACCCTTCAGGCCGACGGGCCAGGCCGAGATTTTCGGCCCGGGCCGGCCGACGAGCCATGTCTAGATACGACGAGAAGCTCGAGCTCAAGTGATTTATTGAGTGAAAAGTGGCCCTTATATAGGGAAATCCCACGTAGGAAAGTACAACCAAATTTGAATAATGAATGATGATTTCCGTGGGAGTTCGGGCTCGAAGTTTGGTCGTCCCGTCTCACACAGGAACAGATCTAGCTATCATTTTTATTAACTAAGCTTTCTCCTAGCCTGCCCCATGCATGCAACGTCGAATCGAGGCGACCCAAATTATCATCAACCCAAACTATTATATCACTGTTGGCCCAAAAAGCCGCAACCGCTGTTTTTATGCCCCTACACTTCAGCGGTATCTAAAATAACAGACATTTGTGGCAAATGATTCATGGTCGTCTAAGCGATTCAACATTATCAATATTACAAAACAACTATTTTAAAGTCCAGCCCACAATGAAAGTGTAATCTCCAACGGCGGGCTCGCTAAATCCCCGGACGTGGCCGCAAAGCGTTCGAAAATATCAATTCGTATCCCTTATGCACCTTTATCGGACCCGGTAACCCACTCCTTCCCACGGAACGTTTTTATTTCCCCGCCAAAGTACCAAAACACCCCTAAAATACCGCAAATCCGGCAGTTTTAGGAGGACTGCATTTTAATCTAATCCCCTCGGGCTATTTCGAGGAACAGGGATAAACCTGAGTCAGTCTCGGCCGAACAAAGGCATACGGGGCGTGAAGTTGTAATCCCCTGCGGAATTATGGTATTCAGCGGGGATTTGCGTGAGGATCACCGTGTTCGCCGGCGGATTACAGTGTCATATGAGGAAGTGGGGGCATTATGCAGTCATGAGGAGAAACAGTCGGGATTTGCATGTATCACAACACTCTGGAATGTTCAAGATACCACGAGGATTGAAAAGGGTATTTCTGGATGAGACTAGAGAGATCAAACGGAAAGTTGTTGTTTTTGTCGCCATTTTAGCGGCGCGCCCACACTTGCGGGGAACCTTTTGCGGGCGCAACACTTATGGGCAGCTTCCGGAGTTGCGGACATTACGTTGCGAAAATGTCTTGCCAATGCCACATCTAACATCTAAACTGTCACAATTTTGCGTGAGAATTTGCATATTCCCATGGACCGACTGAGAAATTGGTATAAAAGGAATGGAAATTGTCCAATCAATGAGTGTGAAGAGGTGTAAGATTATTCTTTGTGTCTTTACCCGCTGCTGTGGTTGTGATTTATCAGTAAATTGTATTCCTATTTCTATTTGTCTATTGTCCTGTGTTGCTGGAATCCGAAATCAAACTTTGTGAGTTGATCAATTAATTGCCTTGTATATCAATATTTAGGCTTGGGATCTTAGATAGGACCTAGACTAGGGACCCTCATACACGTGCAAGTCGTAGCAAAACGACACTTTCGGACGACGGAGGATTCTGAAGAGGCAACGGCAAATATTATTGGGATCTCAACCAACTTCCCAGGAAATCTGCATAAACTCAGAACTATAAATACTGCCGTTTGATCTCAAAAGGCCTGATTCTTTCTGCCTTGCGTTCGATCGGCTGATTCGTGTTGCTTCTATGTGTGTCACCAATATACTCTCTCTATTCTAATTTGTGTTTCTATTTCCTCGGAGCGGTGGGCAACGGTCATCCTCCCTTCCTCAAGTGATTCAAGACGTCATATAGGAGCTAAGCCGGAGAACGACCCTGTGGTTATGAAAGAAAATACAAGACAAAATTGAAAACGAGAATCGGACGTTGTTCAGGAAGTGCGCCATGTTGTTTAAACCCACAACTGCCGAGCAGAACATAAAGGGTAATGAAGAACTACTTCCTTTGTTAGTTAGTTGCCGCCTGAATGCTGTATTGCTTGTGAATTTTCGTCTACTTTTACCAACCCCAACGAGATGTTGTTACTCTAACATGAACTAGTGGGCCCGACCAAAAGGTCCGGACCGCAAAATTTCGCCGGAGAGAGCCATATCTCTGTCAAACAATCTAACGGATGACCCCACAGAGTTATGATGAGATGAAAGTGATAATCTGATAATCCTTTCAAATAAAAAAATCCACTGACGTATTCTTTCTTTATATAAATTCTTTTTAGTCATGACACACTCTTTAATCCCCTACTAGTGGATTCTTTTTGCGGATTTCCTTTACGTCGGAAGAGTCGGATAACCCGCCTTTTAAATATGCCGATACAGTAGATGGTGCATATCGGGCTGACAGCAGGCAGCCATGAGAGGAATGTTGAGGTTATGAAGCCAATCTGGGGGTAGTTCAGCCTCAGCGCAGTTGTGGTCCACATTAATGATAACGGAACGAATCCAGTGAAGACTGGGAGAATTGCCTGAAACATTAAGAAACATTAAGGCCGTTTTGGTGCCCAAAACAACTAATTTTGAACCTAGTTTATACAGTCTATATTGTACTCAATATTTTCTCGACACACTGATAATACACCATTGTACAACACCTCCAAGTTACCTGCGCATACAGCATTCGGTTCATTCCTCGTTGCATCTCCAACGTTCTAGCGGACATTAAATGCCGTTGCTCCTTCAACTTGCTGAATACTCGCTTGCTCGTAAAAATGATGATGATGTACTCGGAGGACATTATTACTGTGCCGGATACGGAGAATACAATGTATGATTTGTTGGCCTGCAAATGAATCTTTGGAGCTTTCATTTCGGATGCCGACAAAACGTTATAATCTTACAATTGACGAGGCAATAAAAGTAACTTTTGTTCCGTTTTCCATCCACATTTCATCGTTCAACAACTGGTCTTGCAGCCCGATTTTGTCGGCTGTGCCTGCGGTCAGCCAATACGCATCCCAAACAGCCAGCAAGTAGGCAACCAGGGTCCAAGCCAATATCTGCGAAGTTTTTACGCTGACCTGTTGACAAATCACGTAATACCGGTAGACAAAGTCCAGCGGGACGGTAATGAAACTCATTCCGACTCCAAGCGCCCATGAAGCGACAAGAATGAAGTGGAGGTCTTGTGGAAGCGTGCGGAACGGGCCATTCGAGATGACAATAAAGTAGCCGTCCAGGAATTGCAGAACCTGTAAATTTGGCTTCATAAACATACAGTGAGGGACCGGATCCAATGGTAAAAAACGTCTCATTTTGCATCCCGGAAGGGACCAAAATGTCTCCAAACCCCTCCCTTCTCTAAGCTAGAAAACCCCGCTTTGGAGAGCCCGCCTTGAAGTAAAGGGCGCGCTTTTAAAAGCGGAGTTGTTTAGCTTACGAAGGGAATGGTTTGGAGTCATTTTGGTCCCTTCCGGGATGCAAAAGGAGACGTTTTTTGCCATTGGATCAGGTCCCTAACTGTACGCGTTTATAGAAACAGAAGAAACGGGAAATTTCGGGCAGAGAAGACTTTCCGGTGAGCTAGCAGTCTGTCGGGAAAATAGTGACGGGTCGTCGCGGCAATATGCTCCATCTTGTCGAAAAAAGAATCCACTCGCACACCTAATTTCCAGCTGCGGCTAGCCGTTGCAAAGCAATGATGGGCGATTCCATGGGCGAAGACTATTTCCCCGACAGTCCGATAGCAGCCTGTCCGCAAGGTCGCTGAAGTGATTTTAGTGGCATGAACTGTGGAACAAATTCGACATGCGAGCGGCAGCTCTAAAAATCCTAATGCGCTGTGCAAAAAGCTTTGAATACCAGTTAATTGAGGTGTAAGAAATTATTGGACTTGGAATCGAAAAGACCTGGCAAGATTGCGCCTGAAGTCTACGCAATACTCACCGGTAGACAAACCGACATCAAGGCCGTTGCCAACAGCTCGGTAATCGCATTCAATATGATCAACTTCCGATATGCTCTTAGAGCTAGATTGTGCTCGGTCATGATCAGCGTGAGGACGGCAATATTGAGGACGGCGCAAGTAGAAGTGGCGAATATCTCATTGAGCTTGTGAAGCGTCCGCCAATCAAGTTCGCCGCTCATGTCCGGAGACCAATTTCCTATCAATCTGTTCGGGTAAATAATGTGGATGGCGACGCAGCAAGACTAGTTGCAAAACAGCAAACTAGAAGGGCTTTTTGCAACGAACAGTAGCAGAGAATCACACGAAGGTACGAGAAAGGTTTAATGGCCCGTGCAGAACGATATGTCATGAAACTTCGTGCGCTTCCTTTCGTCGCTCCCAGAATTAGGCGTTAAACGCATAATTACACAATTGATACATGTAATTCCCCCCTTACGACGGCACAAGCAATCATTTTCGTAAACAAGCAATTATCGTATAAATTTGTGGTAACTTCAATATTCTGCAGACTATGATATTATAGTAAAGCTGTTTAGCACCTGTTATGGCAACATTCTGAGAAACAGCCGCTATATAATATTATAATTGGGAATTTGGCAAAAACACTCGAAATATTTCGCCGCAAAAAACAACACGGGACTGTCGGGGAAATAATGAGCACAATGTTGTTGCGGAAATGGCGTCGCTGAAGTGAAAAGGAATTTGATTTTGTCGCGACAGAGTTCATTCGGCGATGCGATTTTTGATGCGACAGAGCGCTCATTATTTTCCCGACAGACCGAAAAGTCTTGAAAAACTAAATTTTTCAAATAAAAAATCGATAAAACGAAATTGAAATGATGTTTTTTCGGACGTCTCGCCTTGTCGCAATCACACAGAAAATCTCCGACTAGCTTGGGCAAAGCGATGATGGCGATTCTAAGGCGCGAAAAATCCACATTATTTTCCCGACAGACGGAAAATCAACCAGTAGTAGATTTACATAGCGGTGTAAAAAATTTTCCCGGCAGACTGATAGCAAAGAGCCGTTCTAATTCACCTGTCCGTCCTTTAAAACCAAAGATTTTGCTGTAAACGTAATAAACTGCCCGAATTAAGCATTCTTTTTATGTAAATGTCACATATTTTGACACAAATCAGAGTCCTTTACTGGTTGATTCACTTATCGAAAATCGGTTTCGCCGGAAAAATCGGAGAACCCGCTTTTTGAAGATGCCAATGCAATAGATGGTGCAGATTGGGCTGGCGGCGGGCAGCCATGAGAGGAAAGTCGATGTTATGAACCCAATCTGAATGTAGTTCAGCCTCAGCGCAGTTGTGGTCCACATTAATGACAACGGCACGAATCCAGTGAACATTGGAAGAATTGCCTGAAAAATTAAGCACCAATCATTCAAAACAACTAATTTGGAATCTCGTTTTTACGGTCTGGAAGACGAAATATCACAGATCTTTTGCTGTCCTTTGTTGCAAGATAAAATTGGCAACAAGTAAAGTAATCAAATAGACGGTACGAAGGCGACGGGGTTCACATTTTTATGGCGTTTTTAGAAGGAAATACTGCGGCACTTTAATTACCAGTCTGTGGGGATCTGTCTTTTCTCGACGGCGACAAGATTTTGCATGCGACAGGGTGGTCATTATTAAAACTGGCAGGCCAGGAGAAGAATTGGAGTTGAGGATCGACCGGTTGAGGAAGACGAGAAGACCAAGAAATGGAGTATTTATTGGACACGACAGAGAGAAAAGTGATTATATAAAATGATGAGATCTGTGTCTTTTATAGTGGATTGGCGAACTTATGCAAATTTGGGGCTTAGCGCCAACATTCTTTAATATCTAAACGCCTTTGGAAACCCTATGCTTTTTACACTGCCTGAGGCTTTAAACATCCGTCACCGGTATTTGTCAATCTACGAAAAGAGTGGTCTCCATTCTGAGCTCTCATTCGTTAATTGTCGCTTAAGGTTTCTTGTTGTGCAAGCTCCTAACGACTGTAAGTGTAAGAGTGCAATGTGTCTCAAGATTCTGTTGAACTTTGCCCACCATTTACGTACTCGACAGTGCATACATTCAGGTGCTATTGTCATGCAATCTCAGGCATTTGCAACTAAACAAGAACAGAGAAATATTCCGTTCTCTAAAACACTGTAATGTTTTCTATTGTTGTCTTTAGAATTTTGATAATTAGGACTAAAACTGCTGTCCTTGGTTCCTATATACACCCCAAAAATTTGATTTATAATACCCCGAAATTACCTGCGCATACAGCATTTGGTTCATTCCTCGCTGCATCTCCAGCGTTTTGGCCGACATCAAGTGCCGTTGCTCTTTCAACTTGCTGATGATTTTCCGGCTGAGGATCATGATAATAGTGTATTCTGAGCAAATAACACATCCGCCGGAGATGGTGAACACCTTGTAGGCGGTATTCTCCTAAACTCATTTTCTTTTACTAATTTTATGACCTTACAATTGACGAGGCAATGAAAGTAACTTTCGTTCCGTTCTCCGTCCACATGGCCTCGTTCAACAGCTTGTCCTGCAGCTCGATTTGGCTTACTGTAATAAAACTGCTGGCCATCCAATACGCGTCCCACACCGCCAAAATGTAAGCAACTAGCACCCAGAAGGCGATTTGCGAAGTCTTCACTTTGACCTCTTTGCAAACCACATAGAACCGGTAGACGAAGTCCAGCGGGACTGTAATGAAACTGATCCCAGTTCCAAGCGCCCATGAAGCGATTAGAATGTAGTGGAGGTCGTGCGGCAGCGTTCGAAATGGTCCATTCGAGATGACAATGAAGTAGCCGTTGAGGAATTGGAAAACCTGGAAATGTGGATGTTCATGGTGATCTACGCAACCACTTTTTTCGAGCTTGGCGCTGACGATTTTTTCGCCGTATCTTTTCCGGTTTCTACTGTGGCAAGCTGTGTTGGAACACGTGGATTGAGGGTCCCTAGTGTACAGTTGGGGGACTTGATCCAGTAGCAAAAAAAGTACCATTTTGCATCCGAGAAGTATCAAAAGTATGGCAAAATGCCTCCCTCTCGAAGTGAAAGAACTCCGATTTCAAAAGCACGCCCCTCAAAAAAAAGTTTTTTTACTTGGAGAGGGAACCATTTTGCCACATTTTTGATGCTTCCCAGATGCAAAATGGTAATTTTTTGCCACTGGATCAGGTCCGTTACTGTAGGTCCTGCCTAAACTCCCAAGCCCAAATACAACGCGCTATAAATGTGCACTAGGTGAAACAACACCGAGGGCGACGAAAGGACAAGTCAAGCGCAGAATGTTAGACTCCCGATTTGCCGGGGAACTATGAATGACCAAGCCAACGTATAATAAACCACCATACAACAGTAGGTGGACACAAATAGAAACCGGCGATTTAATAGGCTACAATAAAGGCCAATAATACGACCGCCCCAGCGGGAAAATACACAAAAATGATTGAACTCTTCAGAATCAATTCCTTAATAGATAGTTGGTCATTCCATGGGAATACGCAAATTCTGACAATAGGGAAAAAACGTGTTTCTGGGGAACTTTAATCTCTATTGCAGAAATTGTGCGCGGCATGCCAAAACTCGCAAAAAAGTGTCATATTTTTGTCAACTTTTGGCCTAAAAACCTTCAAAGCGCTAGCCAGGAGTTTCGCATATATCTTACAGGGGAAGTACTCCAAGTGCGACGCTAAGATTTTGATGAAACTTGGCACAAATTTCGAGTAACTTTTTATAAGACATATGCGAGAATCCAAGCAGAAACAACCGAGATTTTTAGAACGAAAGTCGACCAAAATTTAGGACTTTTTGTCGAATTTTGGCACGAAAAGTTTCATGCCTATTTCTACCGTAAAGGATAATGTTTCTACAAAAAATCAAATTTTTCCGCACGGAACTGCCAAAGTTATGGCCAAAAAGCGTTTTTTCTCTCTAACCGCCCTCCACGTTTAGCGTGCTCTCTTCGCGGCAAAAATCGTTCGATATCTCGGCGACACCCGCAAAGCGCGAGCTAAAACTTTCAGGAATTGATATCTAGTACATACCTCACGTGCGTGCAAAATTTAAAGAAAATCTGAGCGTCGCACTTGGAGTACTTCTCCTGTCAGCAAAAAATATTCTAAAATTGAGCCAAGTTTCATAGAAATCTGAGAACGGTTTGCACCTACCGGTTGGCACACTGCCATTAGGGCTGTGGCACACAGCTCGGTCAATGCATTCACAATGATCAGTTTGCGGTAAGCTTTGATCGCCGAACTGCGCTCAGTCAGTATAAGCAGCAACACCGAGATGTTGAGGATCGTACACGTTGATATGGCGAGCTTCTCGTTGAGGCCATGCAATGACCGCCAGTCCATTTCATCAAGCATGTTGAGGGAGGTACAAATTGCCTTACGAGCGGCTGAAATAGAAGATTAAATTACCCAGGGGAAGTGCCCCAACTGCGACGCACAGATCTTGATGAAACTTGGCTCAATTTTACAATAAGGTTTGCTAAGGTACATGCGAGACTCCTAGCTCGCGCTTTGCAGAAACAACCGAGATTTTTAGGTCGAAAATTGGCGAAATCGCGAGATTTTTTTGCGAATTTCGGCATGAAAAAGTTGCATGTCTATTTCTACTATAGAGTATATCATTTCCACAAAAAATCATTTTTTTCCGCTCGAAAGTAAAAAATATATGGCCAAAAAAGTTTTTCTTTCTCTCTCCGCTTTTCACGTGCTCTCTTGGCCGCAAAAGCCGTTGAATATCTCGGCTGCCTCTGCAAACCGCGGGCTTAATTTTTTAGGAATTGATATATGGCCAATGGCAAAAGTGTGTGCAAAGTTTCAACAAAACCTGAGCGTCGCACTTGTGGCCATCTGCTTTGTTGAAGATTACTTAACTTCGCGAAACGCCAACACTGCACCAAGCTACAAACAGGAGTGTAAAAATGTTTTCGAGACCATGAAGAGGCCGCTCGTGACACAGCACAAACAGCCAAGTTTACTACATACATACTAACACATGTTTTGGGCTACATTTCTTTGCAAATTTCAAATTTTTTTCATTTTCGACACACTTCTTACATTGCGTGGTCTTCGAAAAATTGAAACTACAACAGAAAGACTTTACTTCCGTGGCGAAAAGTCCAGACAATTTTTGGCGGCCTCAAATGCTGTCGCGCTCCGAGCAATACACATTTATCGGTTTGTCGGGAAAATAATGAGCACTCTGTCGCATCAAAAATCGCATCTCCGGAAAGATGAAGCGCACGGTGCAAGATGTGGGCTTTCTGTAAGCGGTGCGGGTCGCGACAAATGTCTATGCACTTTATGAAAATATTGATGACAATCTGTCGGAAAAATAATGAGCACTCGCATCGAAGGTCAAATTTCCAGCTGCGGCTACCCGTCGCAAAGCGATAATGTGCGATTCAACCAGCCACAAGTTTCCCAACAGGCTGATACAAAACTTGAGATGGATATTACACCACCTACACTACTATTACACTATATACATCTACCGTAGGACGCTAATAAGCAAATTTTCGGGAAAGCCGCATAATAGGACTTGTATTTTTAAATTTGAAACTTTGAAGCATCGTGGAGGAAGCACCGTGGAGTGCCCACAGCACCCGACGACAAAGATTGATCTCAACAAGTTGAAGCACTTGTTAAGTACCATAAAATTTGTTCACTCTTTTGTATCACTTGTTGATGGCAATGTCTCGAGTACAATAAATGAGTTTTCTAAAAACGGCGCGTTAATCCGTTGTGACATATAGGTCGTTATGGCAAATTAGCAAAAATAAAACTACGCAATTGTACTCAGACTAAACGTAGGAGAAAAAGGGTTAGATCCGAAGAATGCAGCAGACTTTTACGAGGAGGGTAATTGGGCAAAGAGGGTACTGACTTTTTCCGGGAGGCCACCCCGGGAAGAGGATATATTAAGGAAAGAAATTGTATGATAAGAGGGCTTTACCATATCATTTTTTGGAAGACCAAAAACTAATTTTCCCTCTAGGTGCCCTTTTCGCTCAAGTGTGCCCTCTGCGCCTGCTGCGTCCCGCCACGAAACCCGAAAGGACATTTCGCAACCGAGCGATTCGCGAACTTGGGAAGAAATAAAGATCAGTGTGAAAGTTGCAGGCTGAGTGAGCGGTCGGCTGCTCGAGCTAGAGGATGTGCGAATCGGGGCTAAGGTAGTACAGCCCCCCAGTCCAGTTCAGCCCCCTTCGTTTTAGATCAAGCCCCCTACGTTTTAGGTCAAACCCCCAACGTAGTACAGGGTCATACAAAAAACGTGAGGGAAAGTGGAAGGCTATAACTTCCGGCGGAGGCGGCGCAGAGACTTCGTATTTGAAATATGTATTTTTAAAAGACATAAGTTTTTGTCTGCGAAATAACAGCCCTTAAAGTGCAAACTGAGGTCGCTACGACCTTCTGAAGTAGAGGCATCTCTACCCTGAACTACCAAAGCCCCTGCGAATCTATCCGTCGTGTGTATTTCGGCCACCTTCTCGGCCATCTTGTGTTTATGATATTCGGCGGATAAACGAGTTTATGGCCAGTTGTTGGAGTTTGTGAGGGCTTGTCTAGAACATCGTATTAGGAGACCCTGTGTCTGATCATGTTGACGAAGAACCGACTATCTTTTTGCCCGCTTCTGCCACGACTTCTCGTGGCGAATTTGCATTTCCCATGGAATAACCGACAAAGAGTAGATCGTTGTCATTGTCGCCCTAAGTGCATTTCAGCTACGCCCTGGTTATTTGTTTTGTCATTGTGGATAGTAGTATTTGGGCTTGGGATCTTACAGGGGAAGTACTCCAAGTGGGACGCTCAGATTTGGATGAAACTTGGCACAAATTTAGTATAATTTTTTCTAAGATATATAGTCGCCGCAAAAAGTCTTTGGAATTTTCTGCGACTCTGCACTGTGCATGAACCCAAAAAGTGCTTTTGCACAGTGCATCCGACCCGAAAAGTGCTTTTGCACTGTGCAATTTCGTTGATTTTGCCTTATTGTCGCGCGCGATTCCCATTTTTCTCAGCGACAAATCGACATTTCGGGGTGCGACGGGATTTGGGTGCCGCGAAAAATTCCAAAGACTTTTTGCGGCGACTAGTATGCGAGAATCCTAGCTCGCGCTTTGCAGAAACAACCGAGATTTTTAGATCGAAAGTCGGCGAAAATTTAGGACTTTTTGCCGAATTTCGGCACGAAAAGTTTCATGCCTATTTCAGCCGTAAAGGATAATGTTTCTACAAAAAAACAAATTTTTCCGCACAAAACTGCCAAAGTTATGGCCAAAAAACGGTTTTCTCTCTGACCGCCCTCCACGTTTAGTGTGCTCTCTCGGCTGCAAAAATCGTTCGATATCTCGGCGGCGCCCGCAAAGCGCGAGCTTAAACGTTCAGGAATTGATATTTAGTCCATACCCGACGTGTGTGAAAAATTTAAAGAAAATCTGAGCGTCGCACTTGGAGTACTTCCCCTATTAGATAGGAACTAGAATAGAGACCTCGAATCCACTTGCAACTCATGACACTTCGGACCAAATCGAGAAAACGGACAGTGTTTATTCGCAGTTCAAAGCCTTAAATTAACCGGCATTTTATTTGGCAGCAGGCGGCGCAATCTCCGTAATCCCGATCGCTGAGACGTGGCTCGATCTGCTACTCCGCCAAAACGGAAAAACCCGTTGACGGAATGAGCCAATGAACCAGATCGTGCAGATGGGGCTGGCGGACGGCAGCCACGCCATCATCGACGACACGACAATGCCAATTCGGTGATCGCTGAGGCGCAGAAGAAGGGTTGAGGTCATTCCCAGAATTGGGAATAAGCCGGTGAAAAGTGGAACCAGCGCCTGAAAAATGGGAACTTTTAGACGATGGCGGATATACCAAACGTTCAAAAAAGACAGGCATACCTGTGACAACAACATTTTGTTCATTCCTCTTTGCATTTCCAGCGTTTTTGCCGACATTAAGTGCCTCCTTTCGGCCAACTTTTTCATTATTCGATGACTCAAGATGAAGATGGAAATGTACTCGGCAGTGACGTACAGACTCGCGGATATTACGAATGTCAGCGAGTAGGGGTTTTCCTGAAATCGAAGATTATGAAATTCTAGAATAGACAGGTGATATATCCCTCGGGACATATAAATCTTTGTGCTTCCAGAAAATATGTCACGATGACATATCTCTAAACTGTGCCAGCGATGTAAACAATGGCTGTGTATGGCTAGGAAAATATCCTAGATCATGCCAAAAAATTTTTGAGCATTGCAAAGGGATTTTGTGCACGATGCAGCTATAAATCATTGTATGTCCAGAAAATGTGTCACGATGACATTGATTTAAAATGTGCCAGTGATATAAACAATGGCTGTGTATGGCTAGGACTACTCTCTAGAGCATGTAAAAAATTTTCGGATATTGAAAAAGTTTGGAGCGGAAAAATCTCAAAAATCCAGAAAATCCGTCATCCAAATTGCGCATTGCAAAAGTTTTGAGCCTAAATTTTATTGTGGGCACTCTACGGCGTACTCCTAGTCATATACACTAAATACAACCGTTGCTTATGCCACAGATACATTTTAAACAGGTGTCATCATGACACATTTTCTGGACTCTCAAAGATTTTCAAATCCCGAGCCATTTATACACGCTTACAATAGTCCCCACGATAAAAGTCATTCTTCGACCATTCTCCCGCCACATTGACTCGTTCAGAAACGCAAATGACGGCTTGTAATCGATCGCTTTGGGGGATAAATGCACGAATCCCAGCGTCATGAAGACTGCATCCCATGCCGCCAGCACGTAAGCGATCAGAACCCACAGAAGAACTTGATGTGATTCCACGTTTCTTTCGCTGAAAAAAAGTAGAATACGCAGATAACAGAGGAAGAGGCTCGCAAGGGAAGTGTAAGATTTCGAGTTTTTTTATTGCTTTGTTTTACAACGATTGTTTGTTGTTTGGCAAAGTGCATATATTCATTCGAAAGAGCTCTTTCCCCTCTACAAAAGTGTGTTTTTAGATTTTTTTGAAACTTTGATTTTTCATTATTTTTTGGGCTCAAAAGTGAACCATCTAGGAGACAAAAATTTTGCGTTTTCGACAACTGCTTTTTCGCCGAGCAGTACGTGGACACAAACAGCGCTTTGGTACGAATCTTCATGGGAGGTGGGAAATAGTGTCCGTACGTCAATATGAAGCAAAGTGTTGACTGTCTCCTGCAGTGGGCGGCTCCACAGGGACAGTCAAAATACACATGGTGCATTGGGAAATGCTTGAAAAGAACGCCACGGTCAACAAGGGGCTCTATGATGCCCAGCTATACTTTTGCCAAACAACAAACAATCCTTGCAAAACAAAGCAGAAAAGAAACTCGGCGAACTTAGTCCCCGGCTGTCACGATTCCGTGAAGAATTCCCAGAAATTAGCATAAACGCGAATATTTTGATATAAATGTAATGGATCGACCGCTTTTCGGCCAGACTTTTTTCCGTGGTGAATAAATAATTTGTGATCATTTGGAAGTTCCTTGGTGATAAGAGCGGTGGTGGAAACTATTTGGAATCAACAGCGTGAGTCCACCTTTTCTTGCTAGAGTTAGGTAGGGACTACTAGTAGTAGCGGGCGAGTCAAGCGGGCCTTACATCACGACTCATAGTCAAGTCTTGACACGACCTAATACAATAGTAGTAATCGCGTGCGCGGCAAAACCCGCCGTACAAAGTGGTCCGAAAAAAACTCACAGACACACCACGTAGTATCGGTACAAAAAGTCGAGCGGTATCGTCAAGAACCCAATCCCAACTCCCATAGCATACAACAGCAACAAATGGTAGTGGTAATTTATCGGCAGATGTCGAAGCGGGCCGGTCGCTATAAAAATGTTCACTCCATCGGCGAATTGGAACATCTGCAACGGAGATGCGGCTTATAAACGCTGGCTAGCAATTTCCTGTAACTTACCGGCTGACTGAGCGCCATCAGAAGTTTTGCGAGAAGTTCGGAGGAGGCGTTCAGGACGATGAGTTTGCGGTAAAACTTTAAAAATGACCCGTTTTCGGTCAACGCCAACCTCATCAGTGTGAGGTTCAGTACGATGGAGGTGAGGACTGCCAGAACTTCGTTGAGATGGTGGAATTCCATCAGATCCATGGCTGAAAAAAAGTGATAAATGAAAAGGAGAGAACGGCAAAAGAAAGGTTCATGAAATCATGAAGACGTATGGGAGTGTGTGAAGACACTCTCAGGTCTTTGCTATGATCACAGCATCTATCAGTCTGTCGGGAAAGTAATGAGCACAATGTCGCATCCAGAATCGCATACGAGAAAACGAATTACAGTGGCGGACTTGATCCATTGGCCAAAAACGTACCACTTTGCATGCGGGAAGCATCAAAAATGCGGCAAAGTACCTCCCTTTGCAAGAGAAAAAACTTCAATTTCAAAATCCCACTCTTTTTGTGTGAGAAACCGCGCGCAGTTCAAAACGGAGTTTTTTAGTTGGAGAGGGAGCCATTTTGACACATTTTTGGTACTTCCCGAATGTAAAATGATACGTTTTTTTTTTTTGGATCAGACCCACTGTACATATCAAATCATTTTTTTGCTTCAAGACCGGTACATACAAGTATGGCTGAAATTTTTTTTGCTTGCGCTTTGCAGACGCAGCCGAGTTATTCAACGATGGTTGGCGTGGAGAGAGTACACGAAAGACGGAGAGCGGTCCAAGAAGAAAACACTTTTTGCCCACAAGACTGATCGTTTCGCGCGGAAAAACTTGCTCTTTTGTCGAAACCTTACCCTCTAACGGAGAAATAGGCATGCAACTTTTAGTTCCGAAACTTGGTAAATCGTCCCAAATTTTGATCTACATATAAATCCCAGTTGTTTCTGCAAAGCGCGATGATTCTCGCATGCATTTTAGAAAAAATCAGCCTAAATTTGTGCCATTTCATCAAAAAGCGTCGCATCTGGGGTACTTCCCCTGCAATAGGCAAGAGAAAAATTTTTATGCCAGAATTCCTACAAAAGGTGCCACATTTTTTTATTTTCGACCGAAAAAAGCGAGATGTGAACACCGATTTGCGCTCTTTTTACTTTTTTTGTTTTATTTAATAAATTCAATAAAAACCAGAGCGCCCAGCAAAGCCAGTTGCACTCATTTATTAGATTTATTATAATGCGATAAATGGCATGGAGCAAGAAAGATTTTTGGTGAAAAGTGCAACGTGCAATTTTCATTTTTTGTTGGGCAGAATGGAAAAAATGCCGTTGGAAATACGAAATTATCCGTACATCATTTCGTACATAAATCCGAACGAAATTATGTACACTTTGTGTGAACCGGCATTACCCCGTAAAATATATACATCCAATAACTGTAGATGACACTTATCTACGTATAACATACTTGGTATCAAACAAAATGGGGTTGTCTGAGGATTCAGGGAAAAAAGGATTTTAAGATTTACAAGGGAAGTACCCCAAGCGCGACGCTCAGATTTTCTCTAAATTTTGCACACACGTCGGGAATAGACTAAATATCAATTCCTGAAAGTTTTAGCTCGCGCTTTGCAGGCGCCGTCGAGATATCGGACGATTTATGCCGTCGAGAGAGCACGCTAAACGTGGAGAGCGGTCAGAGAGAAAAACGCTTTTTGACTATAACTTTGGCAGTTTCGTGAGGAAAAATTTGATTTTTTGAAGAAATATTATCCTTTACGGTAGAAATAGGCATGAAACTTTTCGTGCCGAAATTCGGCAAAAAGTCCTAAATTTTCGCCGACTTTCGATCTAAAAATCTCGGCTGTTTCTGCAAAACGCGAGCTAGGATTCTCGCATATATTTTTGAAAAAATTACTCTAAATCTGTGCCAAGTTTCATCAAAATCTGAGCGTCGCGCTTGGGGTACTTCCCCTGTTAGCCAAAAACTAAAGAAGTTTATAGCCAATTCAATCGGGCCACAAAGATGCCCCATCCTGTACTACTCGGCGCAAAACGTCCTGGGAATTTTTTGGTGCTCCGAACTTTGTCGCAATTTGAAAAATGGAAGTCACGCGCGACACAAGACAAAAAACAAAAACGCACTGTGCAAATGCTCTTTCGGGGTCGAATGCACTGTGCAATGCATCTTTTTTGGCAATTTTCGCTCTGTGCAAACCAGCAAAAATTTTTTTGCCTCAGTACCTTCCGTTTTTAGCGCTCGTACTGTACGAAAAAAGTCAAGCGAGCCACGGCCGAAAACAGCCTATTGCACGGTGCAAAAAGCAACAAACTGCACGGTGCAAAGAAAGTTTCTGTTTTTGCACAGTGCATGTCGCCGGTTTAAGTGAGTACTAGGGCAAGGTATTTGACGTCAAATTCATTATCTCCGGCATGCATATCTGTCATTCGATATGCGAATAAATCGACTGCGATATAAAAAAATTAAACCATAGTAATGGTCTCTACACAAAGTACAATGGCTTTAGAGCCGTCATTAAAAGCAATATGTTATGATGTCGGGTAAGACATCATAACATATTGGTTATACTTAATGAATCGACTTACAAGGCTTACAAATTTTCCGTAATTGGTAGGCATTCTCAGAGTGCTAATTTTATTCAGCGGTTGTTGAACTGAATTGAAAATATGCTCGAAATGAGCGAATAGAGAAATTATTATTTATGTATATACGATAAAGAAGTGCAGCATGAAAAACAAGAGGAAATACAGGATCCAAAGAAAAGAGAAAGGTCAACAAGGGGAGTTCTCCAATTGCCTATGCACTTGGAGTACTTCCGGAATTGCGAAGCTCAGATTTTTTAAAATTTTGCACACACCCAGTGCATGGCCACGTATCAGCTCGTGAGAATTTTCGCTCACGCTTTGCCGAGATATTCAACGATCTTAGCGGCTGAGAGAGCACGCGAACGCATCTTTCCTGTTCCATGCCATTTATAACATTGTAATAAACCGCAATCGACCGCGATGTGGATTCGGGAGGAAAGAAAGATCATTTTGGAAGTCAGAGCGTTCGGCCGTCAGAGCGTGTGGAGAATTGATAGAGTATAAAATTTGCGCCAAGTTTCGTCAATGACAATTTATCCTCGACTGTGAGCGTCGAGGATAAATTGTCCAAACTTTTTACTTCCCTTGTAAATTGCATGCTTGATGACTCATTCGCGCTATGCATATCAGCCGTTATACGAATGCCGAATGGCTTGCGCAATGAGTGATTTATTGCCCGCTCTCTCGAGGCGCCGCTGGAAATTTGTTTCGAAATAAAAGATGTTCTCGCCAATTTTTGGCCATTGTTGTGGCCAAGGAAACTCCAGTTTAAATTTTTGGCGGTCCTATCATTATTATATAAGTCTGTCGGGAAAATAATGTGGATTTTTTGCGCCTTGAAATCGCCGATAATCGTTTCCTGAGCGACCGCTACGAGCCGTGAGATGTTGCTGCAATAATTCCACATTATCTTCCCGACAAGCTGAAATAAAAAATTATTTCCTAGGGTCTAATCAGTCTGTCGGGAAAATAATGCGCTGTCGCTGCACCAATCGCGTTGCTGAAGTGAAAAACAATTTGATTTTCACACAATTCGTTCTTCCGGTGGCGATGCGATTTTCGATGCAACTGAGTGCTCATTATTTCCCCGACAGACCGATATCCAGAAAAGGACAAACAACCAAAACCGTACGTCTGGCGCTAACGCGAGGTCAACAGACGTCCGTCCTCATCGCGCATTTCCTTTTTGGGATCGTTTTTGGGCTTTACAGATTCAGGAATCTCGTTGGGTTGCTTTAAACTTTTATTAACTCGTTTTTCAACAGTTATGTTTCAAGAAAATCTTTTTTCCCAACCGTTCTCTATTTGTAAATGCTGTGTTTTTCTTCACATCCCAATTGCCAAGGGAGCATCCGAAAATTTCAACAACTCTCTTCTAGATGATGGATGTCCCGTTGTGGGGTGCTAAAAAGGCATGTCAAAAATATTTTTTTTAAACATTACAATGGAACCGTGATATGTATGGCCTAGCGTAAAATCACTTTCGGCCTCTTCCTGGTCAATCTGTCTTGACCTTCGACCTCTGAATTTTCGTACAACAAATCGCTAGAGTCAAGAATTGTATTCGTCGAAACAAAAAGGGTTTCGTGTTGCGCCGGTTGACATGTCCAAAAAATCTTTTATTGTGGCCTTGAAATCGACGATTAATATTGTTTTATCGGCCTGTCGGGAAAATAAAGTGGATTTTTTGCGTCTCGGAATTGCTCATTATCGCTTTGCGACGACTAGTCGGAGATTTGGTGTGCGGCTGCGACAAGGCGACCCCAGGCGTGTCTAGTGGGCCGGGCTTTGGCTCGGCAGCCATGTCTGATTTTTTTAGGCCCGATGAAAAGTCAGTCCCCCCCCCCCCAAATTTTTAACAAGAAAAAGTAGTTTTGTGGGGCATGGAGTTCCAGGTCGAGACACATATCAAAAAAATCGCAAAATTTTTCTGATTCAGAATATGCAAAAATTAGCTGCCTAATTGTGGTTAGTAAGGGCGAAAAAACCCTCAGAACTTTTCTTGCAACACCACGTAAGTGCCCCTTTTTTACATTGTTACTAATATTTTAATACCTTGAAAGGTGGAATATTTTAATCAAATTTGACATCTTAAGGCTTGAAAAGATGCCAGGGTTTACTTCAGCTCCAAACAAAGCTTTTGAATTAGTAAACTTGGTCAAAAAGAGGCAGTTGCGTGGTGTTGCAAGAAAATTTCTGAGCCGTTATAAACCTAAATTAGGCAGCTAATTTTTACATATTCTGAATCAGTAAGATTTTGCGATTTTTTTGATATATCTCTCGACCTGTAACTCCATATCCCATAGAGGTACTTTGCTTGTAAAATACGCTGTCTCCCATTCTCCGAAAACACAACAAATTCCTCGCTAATTTCATTTCCCATTACCCAAAGATCAAAGAGAATTTCGCCGCCATTTCAATGCTTGTTTCAATTAATTACCATGACTTCAAATTTCATCTTTTCTCGTTTCGAAAACTCAAAAATAAGTTCCTTGTCAAAGCCGGTTGAAGAATATTCTCGCGCAATTTAATCGGATGCCAATTTTTCTTTCGGCCCCCCGAATTTTTTTTTGCGTTTTTCTTTTTGATTCGGCCGCAAATTT